TAACTTATCCCAGAGTGTGATTTGTCTTCATTTTATAGATAGACATTTTAAATTTTGGCACAGTCAAATTAGAAGAAGAATGTCTTAAAGGCACCAGAGTAGGAAAATATTTACAGGTCAAGATGCACAAGCCCAGCTCATAAAGGGGAGGATTGATCAGTGTGAATTGAGTTGGCTCTTCTTAGAATTCTGCTCTCCCATGGGAATTTTACATTTGCCTAAGTTCCATTAAATCAGTTACTCAGTTCCATGAAAAATTCTGCCAGGATTTTTTGTGAAATAACATCCAATTTACAGATTAATGTAAGAAGAAATGGCATCTTTAAGGTATTGAGAGTCCGCCAAAGAACATGGTATCTCTCTTCATTCATGTCTGTCATATCTCTCACCAACATTTTGAAATTTTCCTCCCAGTGCTTTCCTTTACCAAATTCTTGGCTTAGCATCGTCTAATCAGTGTGTGGCCCCACTTTCCCTTATCTCCCTTGCCATGACACGTCCCTTCTCCCCACCTTATCTCCTGATTTCTTACTGCTGAAACCTAGCAAAAAGGCCACAGGCAGTGGGAAGATGAGTCTCTATAGCACCTTCACTCTGTCCTACATAAGGAGAAATTTGGAGCTTTAAGTTCACACAAGTACTCAGGAAACACTTATTGAGTATATTGGGCTGGATCTCAGACTCTCCTTTCCCATTGACTGGCTTTATTTTTTATCAGTGAGACTTTGCTCCTCTTTGCTTCTGGCCAGTGTTGCCCTGGAAGCCTATTCTGAACACCGTGATCTGATGGAGATAGTTTATTTACTTGGCCGAGCATCGCTATCAGCCTGCTTTTATGTTTATTTTCTTAATCACTTATAGGTCAACCCTAGACAACACTGTGAGTCTTGTAAAACAATAAAGTAATGGAACAAATTAACATCTTGAATTGGGGTTGATACCCCGTGGCATGTATGACTGAAGATAACCGTTCAGTAGATTTAGATTGGCTTACCATCTTCAGATTGGGTGGACATCTTTTATGCCACTTAATTCCATGCTCCCACCTGTTCTTCCCTTTTATTTGCCCTCTCTGAGAGAGCGAGCTTTTGAATGTAGCGAGCATACCACGTTCATCTCTGTACACTCAGAGCCCTGCGTGTTGCCCTGCACACAGTAGCTGCCAGTCACCTGTTTTATAAATATGTTGATGAAGTCATCTCCTTTAAACGTACAGGAGTAGCCATTCTTGCTTGCATGTGTGAACATGTATGCATTCTTTTTTTTTCTAATTTTTAATTTTTTTAATTTTTTGTTTTTTATTCAGCATATTATGGGGGTACAGATGTTTAGGTTACATATGTTGCCCTTATAGCTGGAGCGTAAGTATCCCAAAGCTGCCATACCATCTGGCAGAAACAACATACTAGTTTCATCATTCTGTTGCTTTTCCCACTTACTTTTCAGTCTGGCATGAATGGAAGAAAGGTTGGAAGCAGATACTGAATCTTTTTTGTTCTCAATGGATCTTATCCTATTGTAATCAATTTTATCTATGTATGGTCATGATATTTATCAGAATTCATAGAGAGGGAATATCTTCTAGTGTTAAGACCAGGAGATAAGAAATCTGGATTCTCAGTTCTGTAACTCCTTCAGTAGTCAGGCAACTTAAAATTTCATACATATGTTAACATAAATATAATTAAGATAGAAATTTTATATTGTAGATATATTACTATATTTACTATATAATGTGTGTTAATAGAAAAATATATGTTGCACATTGATAGAGGGAAATCATTTCAGTTATCAAGGAACTGTTTGGCCTTTTGGGAATGTGTTGAATTCTCAAACAGGGATATTATTTTTATTATAATTATAAAGTGACTGGCTTTTAAAGGTATATTTTATGAATCAAATTTTCTGATTGAAAAACATTGTGATTAAATTCTGAACCCTAGATATTCCAAATTACCCCTTTGTCCCTACTTACTCGGAGGAGTTTTTCCTAACAAATGGACTTTAAACAACTCTTTATGGAATATTTGAAGCATGTACAGAAATAGAATGGTATACTGACTTCTTTGCATCTATTACTTAGTTTCAACAGTCAGGTTATGGCTAATCTCATTTTATCTATATCCCCAGCCAGGCCTCCACCACCCTTCCCTGGATTTTTTTTTTTGAAGTAAATTTTGGCATATTATTTCATCTGTAAATATTTCAGTGTGTATTTCTACAAAATAAGAACTATAAAACATAAAGGTGATGCCATGATCATATCCCAAAAGCGTTACCAATAATTTGTCGATATTTTCAAATATCCAGATTGTATTCTATTTTAATTCACTGATCTACCCTCCATTTTCTCCCCATGTCTGTTGCTCTTTCTCTGAGTGTTTGTGTTCTGAAGCAACCAGGTCATTTATTTTGTAGTTTCCCCATCTAAATTTTGTTGATTGTATTGTTCGTATGCTATTTAAGGTGTTTTTCTTTTTTCATCTGTATTTTCTCCAAATTGAGAGTTAGATTCAGAGGAATAATATGATTTTATCTGCACTGGATGTACCTTTTTTGGGGGAAATATTTTACTGTAATAGAATCATTTGAGCAGAATGAATGCTCTGAGCAAATAATACTTGTACTACTAGCTTGACTTTGGACCAAAATCTCTTTTGCCCTGGTGAACAGGGTTAATTATGTGTTAGCTCTGAGGATTTGCCTAGGGTAGGAACAGCTCAAATAGATTGCTTCAAGCTGTCATCTTAAAATTTTTTGCTTCTGATTTGCTGTGATGGAAACTTGTTAGAGCCATATATAAAATCAGTAGGAAAAAACCTTTGAGTGAAGGCTCAAGTTGTATTTCTGTGAATAAAGTACATTTACATGACTTTCAGGATTTTAAAATTTTGATTTGGGCTAAGCACCATGGTTAAACCTGGAAGGATTTTATGCATTTTTGAAATTTTTAGATCTAAGAGTATATGGTAGAGATGAGTTATTTTATTGCTGTTAGCTTAGTTCAGAAACACATGTTAGAAAACAAGCAGTCAAATGAGAAGAGAGGTTTTGGTGAAATTAGCTTCTGATAGGTCACCTGGGTCTTGGGGCTGGGAAAGAAAGAAGGTGTATATTGGTTTTCCATGGCTGCTCTAACCAATTACCGCAAACTTAGTGACATAAAGCAAATTTATTATCTTATAGTTCTGGAGGTCAGAAGTCTGAAATAGCTCTCCCTGGGCTAAAATCAAGGTGTCAGTAGGGCTCAGGCAGGGAATGTTTTTTTGTCTTCGCCAGCTCCTAGAAGCTGCCCAGATTCCTTGGCTTGTGGCCCCTTCCACCTTCAAAGCCAGCAATGGCCAGTGAGTCTCACGAAACATTGCTCTGACACTGACTCTCCTGCCTCCCCCTTCCACTTTTAAGGATCCTTGTCATTACATTGGGATAATCCAAGATGATCTCCCTATATTAAGATTAGTTGATTAGCAACCTTAATTCCATCTGCAACCTTAAATTCATATAATATACCCACTGGCTCCAGGGAGTAGGACACAGACATCTTATGGGTGGCCATTATTTTGCCTGCCACACAAGGTGAGCAGAATTAACAGAAGACAGGTATTAGTTCTTTTTGACTACCGTTGGGCATACACCTCTACTGGTTACTGGTCTGCGAGGGGCAATACTGAGGGCGCATGGTTTTGCATCATGAGGTGCTGATATGTATGATTTTGTAATATTTAAAAGTTAACTTTAGTTAACGCTGTCGTATAACTGAGTCAGTCTTTTGATATGCCAACTCTAAGGAGACTTATGAAGTTTTTTTTCACCTTTCAATTTCTATGCAAAAACTAACATTTTTCACGATTTGGTTTTTCTACTAGTGTGGTCTAGAGAAATGCAAATAATGTATATGTGATGAAATGCATCCTATTTTTGACCAAATGGGAGCCTAGTGATGGCAGATATTTTGTAAGTTTTGATGTAAGGGAAGTTGGATTCTGTGTTCTGCCATTGGGGGCAGTGGTCGATTGTGTGGGGAGAGCACCACGTGGACGTGGCCAGGGAAACCGCTCCTTGGGAGTTGTTTCCTCCCTCTTGGGCAGTAGGCAGTTTCCAAAGCATAGAGGAAGACTGTTTTTTATATTTTTTTAATTTAAACGTTGAAAAATCTCTGGATTCTCTCTTCTGTTATGTCTGTTGCCTACCATCATTGGCAACAACAGATAATTCAGTGATAATTGTAGTGTGAAATATATTGGAACTTTACTTTCAAACTTTTTTTTTTTAATCACAGGTGATTATGATGTCTGTTATACAGGTCCCTGCCAGATGTACTGAACATAATTTTAAAAATCCTGACTGTCAGGGTTCCATTATTAATCAGCTCAATTCAAATAGTGGTTACATAGTAATGTCTTTTAACTTTTAGTGCATGTTAAGTTGTTTGCCCTGTTGGTAACTGGCTCCAGTTGCTAATGGAGTATAACAAACAGAAAGGGAACCAGTCATAATATACAACTAAACTACTAACCATTCTCATAGCTGCGCGGTTATTGCTGTATAGTTCTTTCCTGTCCCAGCGCTCCCAGCTGTCATTTCTAACATTCTGTAATTGTGCCTTCATTGTATCAGACACACTGCTGTAATTAATACTTACGTATCTGAGTGAGGCTACACATCTGTATATTAAAGTTTATTGGTGTTGATACAGACAGTTTCTTTGATATTCGGCGGCCAACCTTAAAACATTTTTTCCTCATTTCTAAGTTCCCATCTGGGTTTCAGGTGCCTGAATGTTTGAGCCTTACTTTTGTACAAGAGAAGGTAAAGTTATAATTGAAAAAACATTTGAGTTTTTTTTTTTGGTTGTTTCCTCTAAAATATTTGCCTTCTAGGTTTAATATATACTAACTTTAGTTTTCTTTGTGAAGGTGACTATTTCTGCTCTCTTTGTTTTGCCATTATCTTGTTCATATTTGCAATTTATCAATTCCTTATATTTGTCTCTTTTTTAGACTTTTACTAGTTGGTGGTTGTGAAACAGCTGAAGTGGGCATGTCAAAAGCTTCTAGCTGTGGCCTTTCTGCCTGGAGAGTTCTTTCAGGATCACCTTATTATAAGCAGGTTACTAATGGTGGAGACAAGGTTACTGTGGTAAGTATTAGTTATAGTATTTCACTTTGCTAATAGGTCTTAGACAAATAAACCCTTTGTAAGATATAGAGAGGAAATAATTTTGTCTTAAGAAAGTGAATTAGTGCTGTAATTTTAGTACTTCTTTCAAATATCAAATTTAACTAAAGTGTATTATGTTTAGCTTGGACTCATTTTTAGTGACAGTATTTTCAGATATTCACAATTACAAAGATGTGGAAACAAGTGCCCGTCAATATATGAGTGGATTAATAAAATGTGGTATATGTATACCATGGGGTTCTATTCAGCTATAAGAAACAATGGTGATATAGCACCATTGTATGTTCCTGGATAGAGCTGGAACCCATTCTACTAAGCGAAGTATCCCAAGAATGGAAAAATAAGCACCACATGTGCTCACCAGCAAATTGGTTTCACTCATCGACACCTAAGCGCACATATAGGAATAATATTTATTGGGCATTGGGAAGATGGGAGGGGGGAGGAAGGGATGGGTATATACAAACATAATGAGTGCGATGCGCACCATCTGGGGGATGGACACGCTTGAAGCTCTGACTCAGGGGGGAGGGGCAAGGGCAACATATGTAACCTAAACATTTGTACCCCCATAATATGCTGATAAAAAGAAAAAAACCTAGTAGTAGTCCAGTTACTTGCATTTTGCTTGTTTAGACGTAAACGTTTATTAAGCACTGTTTATGTTTTGGCAACTGTTTGGAGTGCTTTCACATGTATTAGCTCACTGAATTCTAAGTAACCCTTCGAGGTAGGTGTTGTTACTAGACAGAGTATATTGATCAGAAAAGTGAAATGTAGTTAAGCAAGTTTTCCTGCGTTACCCAGCTAGCAAGTGGCAGAATTCGAGTATGAACTCTGGCAGAAGTTTCTAGTCCACATTCTTAACTACCATGGTATACTTGCTTCCATATTGTTCTATATTTATATGAACTATTCATCTTTCCATTCATTTATTCATTCTACAATTATTTATGGAGCTTCTATTTTATGTCAGACACTCTTTTAGGCTGTAATAGGGTAGGCTAGGCTCTGTTGTGATAATTCAGACAATCATATGAAGAAGCAAATGAAAAGTACTAAAATTTCTGTGGCTCACCACGTAAACATTTTTTCCTTATTTATGGCAAAGCCTACTGTTGATACCATGACTTTCCTGGGCAGCTCGTTTCAAGTGATGATTAAAGGATCCATGGAGGCTGGTAACCTCTTGAGGCCCATTCTCCGAATTTACGGCCTTAGAAAGGGAAGACAGGGATGAGAGGTAGAACTTATTACAATCTTAGACATCACCTCTGCTCATAGTTGATTTGTTGTATTGTGGCCCCTCCTAGCTTCTAGGGGGCTGGGGAGTAGTTTTCTGTATGTCCATAAAGGTGAGAAAAACTATATATTGGTGAATACTAATTGTGTTTACCGTCTTGGCCACCATGTGATCTTACATATCTTGGTTGTTTGTGTAAACTGCGTGAAAGCAAGCACTTGGTCAAAATTATGCACCTTGTGATTAGCACATGGCCAGATATGTAGTGGGCAACAAACTTGCATGTTTTTTGAGTGTGGGAAGAAACCAAGAAATTAAAGTGAAGCACAACATACACCATTTGTTATGCCATTTGTTTTGATAATGAATGTATTTGTCCCTGGTCAGCCCCAGTGAAAGGTATACTGGTATTTTGTATTTTGTTGTGTAGTCATTTCAGCTTTTCCGTTGCTATGAATTTTGTCAAAATTAAAGGTTGAGAAAAAAAACAACAACAAATGAGCATGGAAGATATAAGGAGAGAGAACATAGGCAAGCTCTGAAAGTGTTTTGGTGCGGTGTAATCAAGGATGTATTTGTGACCAAGTGGGCCAGCAAAGGGAAAACCACAGAGTCATATACTAGGGAACCTTTTTTAACCTTGGTTTCTTTGACTTTACCTGTGCATTCAGTTTACTCCTCACTGGAGTATTGGAATCTGCTCTGCTACCTATGGTCCTTCTCTCTTTGGCCTGAGGCTTCGTGTTGGAGTCCTTTAACAGAAAATTGCTTGTGCATTGACAAAATAAGGGAGAAGAAATATCCAATTGCAAATTGAATGCTCTGCTGTATGATTAACTTCTTGAAATGCTGCAAGTGTGTTTTAATTATGTTAGTGGCTGTGTCTTGCAGCAAAACTTACAATCATTCTACATAGCCTTCCCTCACCTCAAAGTAATTTGAAGTTATAGGATTAGTTCCTGTTTTTTAGGTGGCAGATATTGTTCTCATTGAACCTCCTCTTATTGTTTGTTTAAGGTTGCTATTGTGTTGAGGTAGGTATTGACTGAAAAATGTTGCTGACACATATATTCTAGTCTCTCAGAAGGCTGCTAGGTTGTAAAAGAGACTATGCAAAATTCAATATGTGCATTGACCAAAGTTTCCAAATTAATGCTAGTGTCATTTATGGGAGATAGTTTTATTTATTTATTGTTTCAACATTTTATAACTGCTCCAGGTATTAGGAATATAAAGATAGTGGTAGTAGCCCAGGTGTTTGCTATATATTGGAGGAGACAGCTATGTTCACAAATAAGTATAATATAAGTTATAACAGGTGCTAGATTAAAAATCAGTAACTGATGCAAAGGAAAGACCCGGGCTGTGGAGTCCAGAAGGCTGGTATTTGAATTCTGCCTTATTATAGTACTTACCATTGGAGTATTAAGGCTTCTACCAGGATCAAATGGAGTAATATATGTGAAGGCACATTTGATGAACTGTAAGATGATCTACAGTGTTAATTACTATTGTCTATTTGTGTTAAGAACAAAATTTTGGAAGAAAGTCTATAGAAATGAACAAAATTGACCGGATTTTTTTATTATTATTGCTGCTGCTGCTTCTTCAGTATGGAATGTTGTCGTGGGATGAATGCAGGCTTTTTGGAATCCTGTTTCCCTGGGAAATCCTCTTTCCTTGAGAAAACAGAAGTAATTAGACTACTTCCATAATGTCCCACCACCTGCCTGCGGTCGTACCTGTATTTTGTATCTTTTCTCTTGTCCTTACAGATGAACCGTCCTTGTTCTAGTGAAGGCCAACCCTTCCGTTTGTCCACTACATCTCCCATTTTTGTATACTGAAGGATATTTTACCTACATCATGCATTTTATTATCTCTTAGATTTATCAGCATACAACATGCTTTTATTTCTCCTGTGATAAAAACTCTTTAGGTTCCACTTTGCCCTCTAGCTGCCACCCCATTTCTTTCCCGTTGTTTAAATATTTTAGAGTTGTCTATACTTGTTTGCAATTCTTTTCTAGTCTCTCTTCAATTCACTTGAATGGGATAAACCTCCATGATTTCACTGAAATTGTTCTAATTAATGTTATCAATGTCTTCAGTATTTTACCAGGTTATCAGTTTTATTGTTATTCTTTAATTCCTACTAATTGCTTATATGAAACCAGCTTATTCTATTTTCCTCTTTTCCTTTTCTTTTCCCCTTTTTAATTGTATTATTTCTATTTTGACACATATATAATATTTGTACATAAGTTTCTAACTTTCGTCTTTGCCTTTCTTTAGTCTTAGATGTCCATTTATGTATTTTTAAATTGCTATTTCAGGTCTTTTATTGAAGATTTCCCAGTTGTATTGTGGTTGGATAAAGTTATTCTCTAGTAGATATTTTGACAAGGCTCATAGGTGATGAGTTCCTTAAGTTTTTGTATGTTCAAAATTGGTTTTCTTTAGACTCGATATCTGAAGGAAAACTTGTCTGGCTATAAAATTCTTGGCTCGCCTTTTTTTTTTTTTCCATTAAACTTTTAAAAAATGCCACTCTATTTTGCTTTGTATGTGGGATTTGAAAATTCTGATGTAATCAAATTATTTCCCATTCCTGTGTTATCTGTCCATTTTTTTTTTTGGAGGTCTTTTTTTCTTTTTATTTTTTTTGAGACAGAGTCTCACTCCGTTGTCCTGAGTAGAGTTGCCTGGCGTCAGCCTAGCTCACAGCAACCTCAAACTCCTGGGCTCAAGTGATCCTCCTGCCTCAGCCTTTAGAGTAGCTGGGACTACAGGCGCACACCACTATGCCTGGCTATTTTTTTCTATTTTTAGTAGAGAGGGGGGTCTCACTGTTGCTCAGGCTGTTCTCAAACTCCTGAGTTCAAGCAATCCTCCTGCCTAGGCCTCCCGGAGTGCTAGGATTACAGGCATGAGCCACCTCGCCCAGCCCAAGAGGTCTTGAGATTTTCTTTAACTTTGAAATCTAATAGCTTTCCTAGGATATTGGAGTTGATCATTCTGGATTAATTTTCCCAAGAATCTATTGACTCTTTTAATGTAAGATTCAGATCTTTTTCTATTTCTAGAAAGTTTTTTTGTATTATAATTTTAAATATTCTGTGCTTTGGTTTTGTTTTTCTTCTTCAGGTTCTCTGGTAATTCAAATGTTGTTGATTTTTATTATCTTCTATTTCTAGTATTTTTTGTTTGACTCTTTTTACCTCTTCCTTTATCTCATTTCCTTTTTACTTCTTTCACTTTCATTTTTTTCATTGTTTTCTTTACCTTATAATTTATTCATTTTAAGATAATTTTGTCTTTTTCTTTTATTTCTTTCCTGAATTTAGTACACATTTTATTATTAGCTGTTTTTTAAATTTTTCTTGTCCAATTCTATTCTTATTCAGTTTGTCATTGTAGATAGTTTTTCAGGTTTTCCTCATCCTCAAATGATTGTTTAAGCATATTTAATTCTGTTTAGAGTGTCAGCTTAAAGTTTCTTTTGTTCAAGTTTGTTTTTTTCAGGAATGATTTCCCTTTGTTGGTTCAAGGTATTTGTGAATCTTTCTATTGTTCGTTTTTTTTTTTTTTTTTTATGGTATTTGAATGTTTTAAAAGATTTGTAGCTTAATGGTGCCCTCTTTTGTCAATGTAGCAAAGTTCAAATACTCTAGTTGATTTTGCACTTTAGTTTGGTGGGGGAGGGTATGTGAGTCTTCTTATGTTGTGGTTCTCTTTTGTCTTGCAGCGCACTACATTTCCCCCTTTGATTCTTTTCCCCTTCACTGCTCAGCTGGCAAAAGGCGCTTCTTCCTTTTTGGCATGCTTCTCCCTCAAAGCTATGTTTGGGAGACTGCCTCTTCATGTCACACCTGTGCTTATGTCCCTCCCCTGTGGTCCATGTCTGATTAACCTGTATGCTTTTCCAGTACTTCCAGATTTAACTTACACTTAATCTTCTTGGCACTGGTTTTAGATGCACCCTAGACTTCTTTGCTAATCCCTTTCTATCCTCCCTGAGCACTATAGTATTATTTTGATCTGCTTTTGTTTACCACCAAACCTTGTGGTGGGCTGCAGTGGGGGCCAGTGGGGACTCAGGGGTTGGCAGGAGCAATGGAGATGACACACTAAGGTTTAGTGATTTTTTTTTCTTTTTACTTACAGGTATTTTGAAGTTTGGGTTATCCTCTATCTTCAAGTTAAGCTGAGAGCATGGTTTTCATGTAAATTTATTTTCCCCTTCTTGTTCTTTATTTTTGGAGGAAATATTGGGAGATGTACAGTAAAGCCATCCCAAATGCTTAAGCTGCTCAGAAGTTCTGGCAGCAAAATTTTTAACCTCAACATAACAGTACCCTCTTATGCTTTTTTTAAAAATTGAGGTAAAATTCATATAACATAATATTAGCCATTGCCCATTTTAAAGTGCACAGTTCAGTTGCATTTAGTATATTCACTGTGTTCCAAGACTAGTTCAAGACATTTTTATCACCCCAAAAGGAACCCATTAAGCAGCCAATCCCTACTCCTCACCTCGCCCCAGCTCCTGGCAACCACTAGTCTGCTTTCTGTCTCTATGACTGTACCTCTTCTGAATGTTACATATAAATGGAATAATACAACATGTGACCTTTTGAATCTGGCTTCTTTCACTTGCCATAATATTTTTAAGGATCAACCATGTTTTAGCATGTATCAGTACTTCGTTCCTTTTTATGGCTGAATAATATTCCATTGTACAGATATGCTACATATTGTTTATCCATTTTTCAGATAATGGAAATTTGAGTTGTTTCTACTTTCGACTATTGTGAATAGGGTTGCTGTGCATATTCATGTACAAATATTTGTTTGAATACCTATTTTCAATTCTTTTGTGTATAGACTTAGGGTTGAATTGCTGATCATATGATAATCTTATATTTAACTTCTTGAGGAACCTCCGGACTTTTTCCACAGTAGCTAATACCATTTTATGTTCCCACCAGCAATGTAGGAGGGTTCCAAATTCTCTATATCCTCAACAGCACTTGTTATTTTCCATTTTTTTTAATAGAGTCATCTCTCCTTCTTGCTTTTGTAAGTATATTTCTTAAGTCTAAGGACAAAAATGGTCTTGTGTTATATTAAATTATTTCAAATACTGATTTCTAAATGGTGAATATTTTTTCTGCTATTTTTTCAATTGTTACATCCATTCTTAATGGATGAAACTTCATTGGAAGTTTTGGCCTTTTCCATACTGATGCTAAGACAAAATGGTAACCTGAGGCAGCCTTATTTGAGAGGAGCTGGTAGTGGATTCTAACTTGTATAAATTATACTAGACTTGTTATTTATGTACTTAAAAAAGCATTTAATCATGAATATATTTTGTAAGATTTTACCACTTGGTGGTTTTTTTTCCAGACAAAAACAGAATTTTACAAATATTCTTGACACTTATTGGTGATTTTCTTAATCATTTTTTAAAATACTATATTTGCTGTAGTTTTCATTTCATGATAAAAGGACTTTATTCATTGAGAGATCATTCCATCTTTCTTCATATGATATGTGTTTATTTTGTAGGTACCAAAGACGCTGGGGTTGTTAAGGATGTTAAGTGTCAAGTTTTACAGTCGCCAAGGACGAGAACAGGTAAGGTGAATTGGCTTACCCTTCTGCTTCTCCAGCATTTTCTCTAGAGTACCTTTAAGGTCAAAGTTGAATGAACCTCTGTTGCTGTGCATAGAAACTTAAAAAACAAACAAAGAAACAAAAAAACATAGACCCTTGTGTATTCTAGATCTTCATCTATGTGTATCCATAATTATACACTCTGTGTGTGTATGCATTAGTAAGAATTCATAGAGCTGTTTGCTGAAGATTTGTGTATTTTACTATATATCAATCTTTTTGCAAAAAAATTTTAAAAGTTATAGGGAATGGGCCGGGTGCGGTGGCTCACGCCTGTAATCCTAGCACTCTAGGAGGCCGAGGTGGGCGGATTGTTTGAGCTCAGGAGTTCGAAACCAGCCTGAACAAGAGCAAGACCCCATCTCTACTAAAAATAGAAAGAAATTAATTGGACAACT